GGCGCTTATTCGGGGGAGGCGCTTACTCAATGTGTTCGGTGTGATTCGATTCCCGCCAAGGGCATTTGATATTTTTCTCTTATTCTCTCTATTTCATTACACACACCGAACGCATAATTTAATATATATATTTAGGCACTGCCTAAAAGCGGAGCTCCCGATACGGAAGTCACAGGGAGAACAATTTGAATGAAACTGAAAGGTAAAAATAAGATCGGGGAAAAAATCTTCAATTATTTTCTATTCGAGATGAAGATAATTTCTCCCATAACAAAAACCATGCAGTGAAATCGAATTGAAATGCACTCTATTGTTTTCTTTGCGCGATTATACTCTCCCACTTAGGAATTTTGTTTACAATTCACCACCACCCCCAGGGGCTAGTTTTGTTCTTGGAAGATTCTTCGACAAAGTTTTCCAAGGCCGACAGTTTTAGGCTTTGAATCTCTTTTACTACGCGCAAACCATATTAAAGTTCATGATTTTATTGTTCAATTTGTATGGAGCTGATCACATAAAAGGTTACCATGGTGACACTACGTCAGCTATAATGAAGGCCATTCTTTTCATTTAAAAATCAAAAACTCAAGTTTTCCACGGTGTATTTTTTAATTTTTTTTAAATAATGAAAGTACGTTATCTCACCTTTTATTTGACACAATGCTAAAGGATTCGTTACTACAGAATTTCAAATAATGCGATTACTTGAATTTGCTCAATAAATAAAATTCCACAAAACCGAATTTCTAAATATTTTGACCACTGTTTAACCTTTATATGATAAAAAGAATATAGAATTTTGAAGACATTTTACCGTCTAGTTTTTGAGTTATTTCAAAAAAAGATAACGCGTGCGAACGATATTTTCATGACGTTATGAATATAAAAATTCTTCAAGTTCTGGTTCTGCGCATGCTCGTGCACAACCTCGCGCGCGTTTACAAAAACTATATAGAGCCACCTTTAAGGCAAATCACGACCAAAAAACAGACTTGAAAACTGGTTTAAGGTGAGGAGAAAATAAGCTTACTTATACGTAATTACGTCTTTTACAGAACGAGACGAAGTTTACATTCAGTTAAACTTGACAAGAACAACTGAGACAAAATAGAAAATGATGCATTTTTTTACCATTTTTTTCTTAAGTATGGTGCTCCGCTCGGGAGCTCCGCTGTTACTACTATACTATGTCTATCCTTTGCCTACATATTTACGGTGTTCAACTTACCTATAGAGAGAAAAAATATCGCTCTGGGATCCTCACGAGTACCCTACATTTCATATTCCGGCTGCGTTACCAGCGTGGTTGGTCCTTGTAGTGTAGTGCTTAAAGTTAACACATCGGACTAGAATACCGAAGGACGTGGCTTCGATTCCCGCCAAGGTCATTTGATGTTTTTCTCTTATTCTCTCTATTACATTACACACACCGAACGCATAATTTATTAGTACTGGTATTAGTATGCTATAACGAGAAGAAGCATTTATGTTTCTAGTGTACATGTGTTCTATCAACCGTTTATTCATTAAAATGTATACGCGATTTAGTCAGATTGTAGCATTATGCACAATTCCTCGAATAAGCGCCCCGGATACACTTTACCGGATAGTAATCGTTTCGGCTCAAAACGTATACCGGATAGGCCTTCTGTTCACACCTTGCTTTTGGAGTGATTTTTGTATTGGATAGATGTTGCTCCGCTCCGGTTTCAAAAGTGATACACTTTGTATCGGATAGGTTTTTGTGCCGATTAAAGTGCAGTATGAACAGCACGATCCGGTACGTAGCCTGAAGTTTAAGTGGTGAGTAAAGAGAGGGAGTTGGAAATATCCGCTGTCGACAAAATGCTGGCTCATGCTCCGTTTCACGCCTGTTCACATTGGGACCGGGAATACCATGTGCCGTTTTAAAAAAGCTATCCGGAATAGTGTGAACATTCTCGACTTTCATGTCCCCATAATGCTTTGCGTTTTTGGGGGGTAAACAATCAAAAAACTGTCCCAAATTGAAAGGTTTCTTAATTGAATTTATACTATGCCTGCTTTTATCTGTACAATACTGTTTATCAGTTTATTCCAAGTTATTTTTGCGTGTACAGATCACGAAGATCGAGTTTTGGTCTTACAGAAAAAGTATGGACTTACGAAAAAATGTTTAAAACGTCTTTAAGCTTCTATCTTTTTCTGTTTTTTACTTCTTCATTTTATCTTTGGATACCAAACAAGGTATTGTCAACATTGTCTGATCAGCCTTCAGCAAAATAAGTGGATTTTTACACTCTGGTTACCCCTCAAAGACGCAAAGGATTATGGGGAAGTGAAAGTCGAGAATAGCCTAAAAAGCTAGTATGTACCCAGGCTAGTATAGTATCTTCATAGATTAAAGTCATTTTAAAAACCCGTGAAATAGATATTAGACTAATACATTTTAAATTAATTTTTCCGAATTTAATTCCAAGGGCTTTCGCCCGGAATAACCTCGTTCCCAAGCACTACAACTTACCTATATTATCTTCTACTATTTCATTAGTGCCACGCGGTCCACATACTCTCATCTTTGCATCATAATTACCGCGACCTAACATCTATTTCACCCTAAATTAATTTTTCCGAATTTAATTCCAAGGGCTTTCGCCCGGAATAACCTCGTTCCCAAGCACTACAACTTACCTATATTATCTTCTACATTTTAGGAGAACTTAATTCCGTTGTTTTCTTTTGTGTTTTTGACTATTGCACGTTGACTAATAATTTTTATTTCACGGGTTCAATGCCTTCACTCTAGTACTAGTGTGTACATATACATAATAGCCTGAGAAAAAGTCGACAGCAGCGAGCGACAGAGCGAGTCACTTTCGACCAATGCCGTTGCTGCATCAGTGTAACATCGTTCGCTCACACAATCCCACAAGCTTCCCACGCTCCTAAGTTCGTGGATTTGGGTAATGGGCTCCCTGTGGCGCTCCAAAAGTTCCGACGTTGAAGAGAAAACTGGGTGGAGTCCCGTTACGGTGCATTGTAAAGGGACGAAATAGCCGCCCTCTTGGAAATTACCTAATTTCATACGGCAGGCCGGGGCCGCGGAGCGTAATTTTGATGGGGGGGGGGGGGGGGGGGGGGGGGGGGGGGGGGGGAGGGGGCAATGATCCTTACGGAGGGAGGAAGCCGGAGAACAAGGAGAAATCTCTCGTGGCAAGTAAGAGAACAACTACATCTTGAGCCGGGGCTCGAACCTGGACCACAGCAGTGAGAGGCGAGCGGTAGACCCCTTCGCCACCCATGCCGCCCTGCATGCATGTAGATTAAAACAACGACAAAAACGACGACGACGACAACAAAACAAGCAAAATGCAAATAATAATCTGATTATTTTATAGAAGCCCGTCACAGGCGCCGCCTGACTTACTCGCGCTGCTTTCTGGGTAATATTGGCTAAGTTGGTGACTAATACGCATGTGCAGTTCCTCGGTGATCGCATTACGTGTAAGGAATGTAGAGACGCCATATCTATGCTACTTTTATAAGATGTTTGAAACAACGACTTTTTGATCTTTAGTCGAATATTAACTGCCAAGAAGAGATACAACTAGTTTACAACGAAGTTTTACATCGACGACTAAACTGGGGAGCCAGTTAAGTGCCAGCTACAACATGGTTATCAGTGTTTTGCGTTCGTTTGTTTTGTACATTTCATTGGCTTCCCTGTCTCACACGGTTTATCTCAACAACATCGATGGCTGTCCACCAATTCATGTCCAGAAAAACAGAATTCTAAGAACTAAGGAATCGCTCAACAATGGAGCGAAGTTTATTCATCGTGAATTCGTTCAATCGGCGAAGGAATGCTATAAACTTTGCTGTGGAAGAGGAGGTTGTAATTTGGGGATGTTGTCGTACAAGAATTCATCGAGTGTTCATGGAGAAATAGTCAGAACATGTTATCTTTTCGATTGTGGCTCTCCTAGTAAATGTATCTTTTCTTCTTATGATCATTATGCGACGATTGAGTTTGAAGACGGCAGAAGCCATGATAAATCAAGTAAAATCGACCAAAATCCGAAAAGTGGATCAACGAAGGCACACGAAGAAAGTAAGGATGTTGTCTATTATAGTAATATAATTATATTACATTTATGAAGCTACTTTTATGTAGAAAGAAACCTAAAAAGATAATGCAAGATTTGTAATTTAGTTACTGTTATTTTCTTTCGTGAATTTGTATTGTTTTTGGAAGATGAGTATAAATTTAAACATATATTCTTGGAATATGTTTTGGAATACTACGTAGTAAATTTTCAAAGAACGTTTTTGATAGGAAATTTATTTTTACATGTGTTAAGTAAGGTGTGNTACCGTCCTATAGTCGGTCCGGATAGGGAAAAACTGTGCCCTCGGTCTTGAACACGGACCTCGGCCTAACGGCCTCGGTCCGTATATTCAAGACCTCGGGCACAGTTTTTCCCTATCCGGACCTCCTGGCCGGTAAATAACATATATGTAAGGTTTTTGCATTTTATCTATTCCTGACCACTACATTTTGTACGACGTAATTAAATAAGACGTAAGAATATTGATTTGTCTTCATGGAATCCAATAAATTAGGTGACATGAAATACTGGAAATAAGTTATTACGTACAGTTTAATGGCAAAAAGGAGCATATACAAATCAAAAGAAAAGAAAATATAACAAACATAATAGGCCATAGGAAGATCTGCAAAGGAGTCCTGGACCCCATATAGAAGCAGACCACCAGAAATATTACATACAAGAATAATAAAAATATAAATAGATAAAATTTGGAAAAACATATAAATGTATATACAGCACTAGTAATAATGAGATAAAAAAGTAAATTATGATTGTAGCATTAAAAATTTCCTAACTTTAGACTTAAAGTTCTTAATATTAGTGACATTACGAGTGTCAACTGGCAAAGAGTTCCATGAGTCTATTATTCAATTAAAATATGAAAATTTAAAAGTGTCAGTTCTAGCATATTTCTTTTTTAACATCAAAGTATCATATCATCTGTGAGAATAGTTATCATCTTTAGAACTGTACAAAATCAGAAACATTAATGTCAGAGAGTCCATTAAGTGCTTTGAAAAAGAAAGACACATCAGCAAGAACTCTTCTATTTTCCAATAACAGGAGATTTAACTTTTTTAAGCGTGTTTCATAAATATCATCATTCTTCAAAATAAATTTAGTAGCACGTCTCTGTACTCTTTCTAGTTTGTCAATATCTTAGAAGGAAAAAAATAACAAGGACTTAGTCAAACAGCATACTTCTTTATTACTTTAACAAGAAGATAGACTCTGTTGGTTTTTTTTAAACATATATATATATATATATATATATTCAAGGGATTTTTATTAGAATATAATTTTTCATCATTGTTCATTCTTGACCCAATTTTCAATATAACCAGTTCGTTAATTTGCAGAAATCAATAGATTGTTAATTTATAATACATCATAAAAGACTTTGATTTAGATATTTGTACCCTCTTGATRCCTTAATTGCCAGAAAGCTTTTTAAAAAATCGTAGAGACCAGGGTTTGAAATCTATTTTGAAAACAACAAACTAAAAACCTAGCYGAAACAAAGCCTTACAAGTGAGTGCAAGTAAGAAAATTAAACAAGTATACATCATGGAGAACATCCTTATCTTGTTACCTGTTTTAAGGCCAGGAATATTCAAGTTGACAAGTTCCTTGTTGAGTAGCAAATGATTTGATAGCAGAAGAATATTAAAAAAACCATGTATATAAAGGCTCAACAAGCAGGTCAACTTGTGGCTGATAGAAAACTTTATGTATACGCAGAACATTTTTTTATGATGCATGCAGGGCCATAAAGGTGACTAAAATATGTAAGCTAGCTTATTTATTTTCTACCCAAAGAATCAACCACATTTACAATGCAACACACAAAAGTAAGACCACATTTTATGCATTCACATGCTTCTATGCACAGGTTCTATACGTTAAACCTACACATTTCGATGCAAAGCTGGCTCGTTTTACCAAATAAGGAGTGCAATCACTCATTTGGCAGAAAAAAGAATGTGCATAGAAGTATTGCGAATACATTYTTAAGATGAGGTCTTACGTTTGCGCATTGCGCTGTAAAAAAACTTTGGCAAACCCCACAAATTTATACAAAATATACAGTTTCGGCCACTGTCTGGCCAAAATTTGGACTTTTCCAGTCAAATCTTTGCCTTTCTGGTTATTTTAACCAGTAATGTTGAGTCAAAGACAAGGTATAACTGATTGGATCAAAAACTAATTTGGCTGGTCATAATAATCAGCAACTGGCCAGATGTTATCTTAACCCCTGATATATACGTAAACTTCATTTCTCTGTTAGCCTTCTAGCATATCACAGTACTCTCTTTCACAGTTTCCTGCATCATCTTCAAAGGTAGCCATGATAGAGACCTCTCACTTCTTTGATGCAAAGACATGGCTACCTATATTTTAAGATGGTGCCGGAAACTTTGAAGCAGACTATTTGCATACTCATCAGGAACACTATATTATTTGTTGTTTATAGATTGTCCACTTGGTGTTCCAGTGGCCATGTGTATGAATGATCCATGTATCAATGCTGTTTGTCCTGGCAATCCATTGGCCTTGTGTAAGCCAAGCTTTTGTGGGTCTTGTCATGCGAAGTTTTATGATGATGATGGCAAAAATGTGAATTGTTATGGTACGTTCCAATAAAATAGCAACCTTTAATTTATTTGCATGGATGTCACTTGCTTTTCTATTTTAAAATGATTTTATTGGGCATTCATTCACAGGAACCCATTCTCAGGCCTGGAGGCCTGGACATCTGGGGAAGGGGGGGACAATAATGTTACATAATATCATATTACATAATATTATTTTGGGATTATGTTTATGTATGCTTATGTTGATTATATAAAAAAACTGGGGGGGGGGGGGCAGGCCTACAGTGGCTCCTCCCCTTGCTACATGCCAGATTAGCCATTTTACATACCTGTATAGGATGAAGTCTAATTTCAAAGCATTATTCAAATTTGAACCTTACAACTGCTACTGAATGCTTTGTGTTTGACTAGTGAACAGCAGGTATTCCTTCTCCAGGGGAAGCTTGATGGGCCTATGGGCCACCTCCAAAACTGCTCTTTTTGTTCAAGTCTAGAATGACAATCTCTCTGATCATTTTCTTTTGTTTTATACTTGTAGCTCGCACAAATGAACCAGACAATACAAAAAATTCAAATGAACACAAATGGCTTGATAGTGGCATTTTTGCAGAGAATGACAAACCCCACTCCAACACTCACCAGAAACCAGTACACAACGTTCAGGACCTTGAAAGTCGTCTTCATGAAATGACCAGTGATAACAAGCAATCTCACCAAAGTACAATAGCGTCTTCTTCTAGAAAGGACAAAGATCAGCACAGAAACTCCTGGAATAATCAAGGCAGTAGCGACGGTTCAGAGCATCAAGCACCAGTTCATACATCAAGAGGTTCTTCATCTCACAGAAATCAGAAACCAGATCCCACAGATCCACCATTTCATGAGTGGAGAAAATTCATTGACAACAATCCAGATTATCCTAAAGTAAAAATGGTCACAGAAAAACCTACACCAAAACGCACGCCTAAACCAACAGATGAGAAATCGACTGAACCCTTTCATCAATGGAGAGAGTTTATTGATAACAATCCAAAATATGACAAGAAAATCAAAACTTCTAAGACACAACAACCTACAAGACCACATGTTACTACTCTCAAGACCAAGCCTGCAACTAAAGGTAATCATTATAGAGATTATCACAATTTTTTAGCTTGATCATATCGATTTTATTCAYGACTTTTTGTATCTTGTCACAAACGACTACGTCTGCAAGCGAGCGATATGATATGGAAAATGAGGGGGGGAGATATCAAGATCTTATCATGTAATAATAATTTTGTTACACATTTACTTTTTACCACGAAGTGATATCACATCACTTCAGTGATGTAGTTTTTTTTATAAATACAGTAAAAACCCACAAAAAAACCCAATATTTTCCAAAGTCAGACTGCAGTAGTTCTTATATATTTTGGTTTCTAGTGAGAAATCAGTCTAAGTATAGGTTCTTACAGCACAACATGCAAAAGTATGACCACATATTATGACTATTACTTTAGGACTGACAGTGCTTTATGTCAAAATTAGGGGCAGGTCCAGGAATTGGATAAAGGGGTTGCTGAAAAACTTCAGAATCAGAGAAACCTCTACAACATGTATTGACTAACCAAAATAAAAGAAAGGGACCATGGACCCTTGGGTCTTCTCTACCACTAATCCCCCAATCTAAATTCTTTATTTTTTGATTACTTTTCAGTTTTTGAATTTCAGTTAAGGTTTTTCGTCAGTCAATGGTTACTTTAAGTCATTTAGAGTGATTTTCAGAAACCGGTGAAACAAATACCATTAGTTTAATTGTGTCATAGTGAATTGACAACAAAAGAACAATGAAATTAGAGTCAACTATGTGTGGTGTGTTTTTCACGGGTTTATGAAAACCACTCTAAGATGTCTGGTATTTGTAAATAATGTAATATGGTGTTTATTCTAGTTGGTACCAAGATTCCTCCCAAAGTAGATAACAATAGCGCAAGCAGTAATAGGAATATTACAGATGTCAAGGTGGTCATTGAAACTAATCATCTTCGCATTGTGGAAAACAAGGCTGTTGTCCCACTTGCTATATTCCTAGTTATAGCACTCCTCTTGCTCATAGTGGTTGGTTTAAGACTCAGAATGATGAAAAACAGGCTCCGAAGGAAAGCATTTGCCACAGACGACGCTGATTATCTCATAAATGGAATGTACTTATAAATATATTGAGTCATTCATATTATTAATACTATTGTCTTAAAGAATTTAATGATAACTTTACAAGTTATTGACAGTCCCATTGCTATGCATCCATGCATACACATAAAAAGAAAAATCCAWGCCACTTGCATTGTAATAAAACCAAAAACATTGTTAAAGTGTAACGCTAACTCTTTCAATCATTATTGTGAGTCATGGTCCAAGAAAATATTTCTATTCTTTACCCACAATATAAGCTCTGTAATATAATTATTATAGTTGTGTGTGTGTGTTTCTTTGTTGTTGTTGTTATGTATGCCTCTGTATGTTATTTACTGGCTGGAAGGTCTGTTTATTTTTTGCCAAAAGCCTTTTTACAGACTGTGGCTGTAGGCTTGTGCTCTGTTTTAAGGACTGAGGCCTACAATTTTYTGAATATAGATCAACTTCAATAACTCAATTTTCAATTGAAATTCTACTTGGTCTAAACCATGGAATTGTGGCAGTCTGAATGCAAGGGCCAGTCCCTATGATGAGGCAACAAATAATGATATTGACAAACATCAGTTTACAGGATGTAGCTTAGAGGTCATTTTGAATTGGACTGTCATTATGGCACACATCAAGATCATGTAATATGCAATAATCATATGGGCCAAGCCCTGTATGTCATTTCTAACATTTCTAAGCTGTATAATTTATAAAGTATGAAGCATTTTGGTGTTTAATGTCCCAATGTACCTACAGTAATGGGAAAACCTGGTGACTGTTAAACTAATAACAAATGAATAATATTGGGTAATAATAAATAATAACATTAGATTTAGTATTTAAAATGTGAGTCATGAACTCTGGGCAGTGCCTTAAAAAATAATCCCTAACTTCCTCATACTATAGCTACAAGACATTAACCAGGATTAATTCCATTGTATAATATGCATATTGCACAGGCCAGTGAGATCATAATGACTTTAGTTATATTCTTGTATTTGACATTTTCACATCACCTCTAACTGTGCATCTGGGAAGGGGAGGGGGGAGGGAGGCACGGATCAGCATTGGCATAACAGATATTTTACCTTTCTGATTTTCATGTTGGGATTTTTTTAGACATAGCAATTTGCTTTATTAGTTTATTGAAAATACACTTGCTCCTGAAGCACACTGCCTTATAGGTGATGTGAAAGTAAGAGAATTGATGGCATATATCATTTGTTAATGGATTCGTTATATATTTAAGAATAATTAATGTAATTTGGTTAAATATTTAAACCATTTCTGACTCAGCCTTTAAACTAAGATAAAAGTTAGCATGGTATAATTAAGGATTTAGTTTGCATCAAGATGAACAATAAAAAAGTAAAAAGCGAATATGCAACTATTGGAGTCCAGGTCGTTTATTATAGATATTTTGATTCATCTTAGATTATATAGTTGTCATGGTAAACTGGGACCTTTTGATTAGTTGTCCCCTTATTTTCAATTCTCCCATCCACCAAAAAAGAGGATTTCATTTTATTTTGCTTGATCCTTTGAGGAAAGGAACACCATAACAGCTTTTGCCAATTACTGGGGTCCCAACTATTCCACAAAAACCTATCACTGCACGACTGACCAGTTTTGATTGGCTGAAGCAAAAAAGCAAACACCATGCAGCTTGGTTTTACCAAGTTTGTGTAATAGAGTGCTCACACTAAATCCGTGAAACAAATACTAATTTTTAGCACTAAATAGTGATAATTAAACAATAGAAAACAAAGGATTCTGTATGAAATAGTACTAATTATTAGTACTATTTAATGTTCACGGTTTTAGTGAGTGCACTCTATTGAAAACTGCTATAAATATTTAAACTTATCATATAATTTTTTTAATATTTAGAAAGAAGTACTGTATATCAATTTCCAATCAGTCAGTATGTGAAAATGAATAGAGTTGCTTCTTCAAGGTTTTTCTTCCAGTTGAATAATTTGAATTTATTGGAAGGATATAGAGCCACTTGTGGAAACACTTCTAAATTGGCACACTGTTTTATTTTATTTTTATTTCTTTTAATAAGGTTATTTTCCCTCCAAAAAATCATAAGTTAATTTTATAAATGCTTAAAAGTTCTTGTAATTTATCTTTACTGTTGATATAATCTTGAGATCCACTATCATTGATTAGATGATTCAGATGTTGAAATAAATCTTGTAACAACCCTTTTTCTTTACTGCTAAGGAAATCTAATGACAGATTAAACCGTTTGGTTGTAGATAAGTGCCAAAGTAGGTCGAGAATGATTTCAGTGTCTTGTTTCTGATGGCACTGCTCAAGGACTTCTAAAAACTCCCCTAGCAGTCCCATAGAGATCTCGTTTTTAAATATTTTCCCCAGATTTACCCCACCAACTTTGCAGAGGTAGTGGTATTTGTCTTGACATATTTTGAGTTCATGTTTCCATGTTTTTAAAAAGTTGTGAGGAGTAAGTTGCAGTTCCGAGGACCTACTCACTACAGATGATGAAGAAATCTGTGTCTTGATGTCTGTTTTCTTAGATGCGAGACAATTCCAAGGTTGCTTCATCTTCTTTTGGTCTGAAAACATAAATGTTCACTATATTACTGCAGTTTTCAATATTTTGCAAACTCCGACATTTCAATGGCATATTCAATGCCGTTAGTCAGGAATATAAAAGGCACAAAATGATTAATTTTGATTGTCGGCAGCGAAAAATCAAATTTATATAGCGTCTCTTTCCCATATACTAATATGGATATGTTCAAAGGTGCTTTACGATGAGTTATAAATAAGAAATGGTAAGTATGAGGTGTAGG